ATACAGACGGTACCGTTTCGGCCTTATGGGCTTCATCAGTGTAGTGCTGATGAGCAGGATGAAAGTATAAATATATTTCGCTAATTTGTGATTATTTTCGAATTTTACTGCAGTTTTAATTCAAATTCAGCCGTTTAGTGGGACGGCTATAATTGTAGTTGTGATCGTTATAAAATATATCAACAACAATAGTATAATCTAATTAGCACCAGCCAATCAAATGACAGATCTAAAAAATCGTTTGTCTAATCGGCCAATCAGACGAAAAAGCCAGAATCTGGCTTTTTACATGCGCCGCGGTAAAGAATTGTATCAGACCCTCCTTCAATCCTTCATTCGCGCCGCCAATTAATCCTGGCGAATGAAAACATAAGGGCCTGATACTCAGATTATTCTTGCGCATCCTATCGGTTCGGTGGGGTGTCCCATGGCTATATAACTAAATTTTTCTTTAGTTTAGTTTTAAAATTTTTAATTTGACGTTTATTCTGGAGTTCCACAGGCAGACTATTCCAGTCGTTGGCAGCATGGCAGCTGAATGCCTGCTTCCCCCAGTTCTTCTTCACGCGTTCCAAATGTATGTTCTGTGTGTTTCGAGTGTTGTAGCTGTGGATGTCAGAGGAGAACTTGAAATTAAATTTAAAATCGACGTCATTGTTTATAGACTTGTGCATGATTAGACAACGATGAAAGTGTCTACGTGTTGTTAACGGCTGCCAATATATATATATATATATATATATATATATATATATATATATATATATATATATATATATATATATATATATATATATATATATAATCTAGCTTAAAACTAGAATAGAAAACATGTGAAGATTGCTCCCTTGAATCTTCAAATTAATGGACTTACTGGACTATTATAATAACTTATATCTATATGACTGTCTAAGTTTGAATTGTCTATTAAAGATTTATCTGAAATAGTCAATCTATACTATTAGAATTAGCTTGAAAACATAGGCAAACAGCTATTTCAATTAAGGTTGTCCCCCGAGCAAAGCGGAAAAGTCGAATACGAGCGCGAAAGGCTGCTGGGAATCGCTAATAAATGAATGAATTTATTAGCGATTCCCAGCAGCCTTTTGCGCTGGTATTCGACTTTTCTGCTTTGCTCGGGAGCAACCTTAATTGAAATAGCTGTATATAGCAGTCCGAACAAGATCATTACATCAACAAAACCGCCGAAACTTACTGTTGTCAGTTGTTGGCTTAGGTTTATAAATCTGTTTTGGGATAAACAAATCTACACTGCGTAAATGTCATAGCCAAACATGCACAGTTATATTTCTTTTTTATTTCGCTGCAATCCATGACCATGTCGGTCTATATATACCACCGGAGGAGGTTGCAATGACTGTGAAAGATTTAGACGAAATTACAACTACTATAAAACTAATCACAAAATATAATTTATTTATAAAGTTATAATACACCTGAGTGCAGAAATGAGCTCTGATGTTCTCCAGCGAAATGTCAAAATCAAGCACGAAAATTGAGCTTGTTTTGTGCGCCGGGCTGCTGCAGACCAGTTGTATAATATAATACAGCAATTAGACTGTTCATTCAACACCATATTCCTTTAGCAATTTTCCAAATTTAAACTACTATTTAATCTCAAATTTGACAGTTATTGACTTTTATTTGACTATAATCCGCATATATCATGCATAATGTCAACTTGGTTCATCCGGAATGACAAACAATTCTAATTATTCACTTTTATATTTTACTACATGTATGACTTAAACTTCCTGCTTGGCCTTCCTATAAGTTTGATGTTGTAATTTGATTTAAAATGGCTGCTTTTGTGTTGAGTGGGCCAACAAAGAATGATTTCTCAATGATTTCACTATAAACTCATCTTTGAGAAAAAGAAAAGCAGTAGCTTATCTGGAGAGAGCTAGTCTGAATTACTGCTTGCAAGCATGAACTATATAGCGATATAAAAGATGTGACCAAGACTATTTGAATATGTGTTGAGAGAATAAAAGACGGCAAGTGCATGCTGTAAAATTTGTCGAACCCCTATTAAGCAAACACCTTCGGGACCTCGCCTAAGTGTCCGCTTAAAAGGGGTGTCCACTTAAAAGGAGTTTTCTGAAAAACACAGCAGGAGGCAAATTTGGGTGTGTAATTTGAGTATCAAAACAGTAAGAAATATCTACAAATAATTAGCATAAAATTACATTTCGAACGATTGCTGTTGTTTGTAAAAGGCAAATGTCCAGATACACTTCTTACCTGCATGGTGGATACTGTACATTCCAAGTAGCAGATATATATATATATATATATATATATATATATATATATATATATATATATATATATATAGATAGATAGATAGATAGATAGCTAAAGTAAAGAAAGAAATCTAGAACACTAAAGTATATATTACAATAACTTTAGTGGCGTATTTTGTGGGCTAAAATGAACAAATGGCGGGCTGAGATTAATTTTAGCGTGGCTCGATACAGTTTTCAAAAATTCAGGTGTTTAACACTTTGACTTGTTCAAACTACGCATTTTTTGGAATTAGGATTTATTCAGCAGATATTGAGGTTTATATATATTTTGATACCTGGGGCCGGTTGTATAAAACTCTTAATCACTTTTTTAATCACTATTTTGTAGTTAAATAGTGATTAACTCTCAAATACGCGCTTCTTATTGGATGACATTTCCACTTAACTATGATTAACTTTAATCACTTTTTTATACAACCGGCCCCTGTACTTTCAAATTATATTAGTTTTAGTAACAGATAGTTCGTTGCTATGACGACATACGTGTACAAAATTCACTCCAAAATGGCCTATTGCCTCGTGTAGTTGGAAAAGAAACATGGTGACGCCGTTGGCATTACAGAATTTTTTATTTTTTGTATAATGAAAGTTTTTAGCGGTGCAATACAGTATGCAAAATTTGAACATAGGTCACCATACAAAATAAAGAGATATAGCGCATTGTTTTTCTAAAATGGAAAATTCTAAAGACGTCAGCAATTGACATAAAACGCTATAGAGCACGCGCAATGCCGTGATATGGCGCGAGCAAATGCTCACGTCAAGTCACTTTGGAAGTTCTTTCATTTTGTTAATAATCAGTTTCCGCTACCTTCGCGTAAAATCGATCGTCACCCGGTTTTGAGTTCACGATTCTTGAGCAGGATTTTTGTGATAACTATATCGAGCTACCAATTTTTTTGATTGTTTATACATTCGCCGGCAAGGCAGTCTAAAATAAGCAATGTTCTTGAGCTGGTTCCTGGGTAACTTTTTAAAATTTTTTACCGGCAAAATGGCTGTAAATATACGAAAAGAAAAGACATATATCTATTTTCAAAAATTAAATAAGGTAGAATTTACTCCTGCAAAAGCAAGGAAAAATAAGAATTATTTAACGTGCCTTGTGAGTTAATTGTGGCAGAAACTACACAGTGGGTGACAGTTTAGTCTGTTCTTTTTCCTATATATATAATTCTATATATAAATATATATATATACAGCTAATTCAATAAAGGTTGTCCTTTGCAAACCTTAAACTCTAAAACCTTAAACTCTAAGCGCGCAAAGCGTAATGGGAGCGCTATTTAAGCAGTTTATAAAGCATACATGGAGCCCATTTCTTAGAGACATGGTAAATATGTGCCTGCGAAAACATTTCAATCACAAACTGCAATATTCAACTACTAAGCTTGATGCAATATTCAACTACTAAGCTTGAAATCAGTACTCTCATTATGCTTTGCGCGCTTAGAGTTTAAGGTTTAAGGTTTAGAGTTTAAGGTTTGCAAAGGACAACCTTTTTTGAATTAGCTGTATATATATATATATATATATATATATATATATATATATATATATATATATATATATATATATATATATATATATATATATACAGGGTGTATCAAAATAAACGCAATTCATCTTTTGTGCTTAATAACTTTCGAAATACTATTTCTACTTAAACGCTTTAGGCTTACTTCAAAGCCTGTTCTTTTCTCTTTCAAACAAACTATTATCCTTGTCTCCAATGCTAGTAATAATTGCACAGGAAAAGATTTAGTAAAACCTATCATTTTTAGTTGCTGTTTAATTATGCAAGTTTACTATGTTATTGTTTAGTCAGTTTAAATGTTAGAATTTTCTTCTTTAAACTTTAATGTTGTCGTCACTACATCTGGAAAACCACGTAAGAACAAATTAAAAGTATTTTAAAAGAGACCATATGTTGTTTGAAAATCCTAAACGAATGCTAAAAATCGTCAAAACTTTCTGGTGTCTGAGCCAGAGTGTCATCGAATTGCGATGTAATGTAAACAGAAATTATAGCAAGTTGATGTCAGTCAGCTTAGATGGTCCAAGCCAAAATTATATCGCATTTGAAGTTAATTTCAAACTGAGTTAAAAATAGTGGAAGAAAAGCCGTAATTATATATATACTTATTGTTACAATCCATTTAATAAAATGCAACATTTTTTTGTTTTAATTTAATGAAAAAATCAGTTATTTTCATGAGAACGATTTGTTATTTTATCTCAATTTTTTTAATCTCCAATTGCAATAACGTAAAGTATTATTACCCGCGAACCAATGAGTCAAATTTAAGAAACAACCCACTGTTAGAAAGCTGAATGGCTACGCTTTAAAATGAATGTAGACTTTAACGTTTTCGTCTATTATTTGTTTAGCAATTTACATTTCAGTCGAGGATTGCGCTTTTTTTTATACACCCTGTATATATATATATATTTATAATATAGTCATCCACCGCATATGAGCTGTTCTGCAATCTGATTGGTTGAATTACCCGCCGTATATCAGCTCATATACGTCGAGTAGCGAAAAACAAGATGGCGGTCCAAAAACTACATGAGTTTTGCAACGCAGAAAAAGGAAACTATTCGCTTTGAGAAACATAATAGTACAAGGAAAAACTGTCTTGTTTAAGATTTACTTACAACAAAAGGTTATAGGCGTAATATTTCATAAAAGTTATAACTTACCCAATCAACCCAGATGTATTTCTTTTCCATGAATTTCTTGATCTCTCGATTTGCTTTAACATTTGAGGAAACATCAAATTGATATTTCTTGTCATTTATATCACGAATAATGTATTCTGGAATTTTATCAAAACACTGCTTTTTGGTGATATAGACGCTGCTTCGTAGATCATAGAGTTGTTTGAGCCAAACATTCATGCTTTGAGTTATACTAGTTTTAGTCCCAAATAGTTTCTCATGTGCCAGAATCGCTTGCTGCGCCGTAAAAGCCAATTTCACGATGCCATTTACCAAGTGGTCTATCTTGCCGACATCACATTTGAATGTTTTCTTTACCAAAGAAATAAGTGGATCTGTGAATATTTCTGTTGTTTTAACGGCACCGTTCAATATTTTGAAGATGTCTTTTTTTACGTCAAAATCATTCACAAACTTGTATCCAACTTTTGACTTCTCGCGTTTACAAGTGTTCTCGTCCGTGCACGACGTATTCTGCAACTCATTCAGAAACTCTAACAATTGTTTATGAGCAAACTTGATTTTGTTGGCCGAGCCAACATATACAGCGCGCTGATTTTCATAAGTGATCAGATCCTTCACGTCATCTAGCTCCAACGTGATCTTGTCGAGCTTCCTATTCACTTCGGCAAACTTTTTCTTCATGTATTTTAGCTCGTCCGAGTCAGCTTTTGGAACAAACGACAAGGCAAAAGACACAAGACCTCCAGCTGCACCAAGAAAATTTGCCATCTTCCCCAAACCGTCGAATATCTTACTGTTCTCTGCATCGCCGAGCGACGAGAAGAATGAAAAAATATTTTCTCCCCCGCTTATTCCGTTTTCTATTACAACCACCGATTCTTGGCTCATTTCGGACACGGTATAACTAATCATTAACTGCAGCACTACAATGGCGACACACAGCATGGTTGTCATTGAAGCCATCTTTCAAGTCTTCACAGAAATACTGTAAAAGGAAAAAAGTAGGTATAGGTAGGTAGGTAGGTAAAACTTTACGTTGGTCTCGACATCAAAGAGTTGATTTCCGCGAGGGGCGTCAAAGAATTTAAATTTACAAAAAGGAGAGAAAAACTACTAACAAAACTGATTACAACTATTTACAAAAATATACTAATGCTAACGGTGTGACCCAGCTGCATTACAAATACTTACCATATTAAGTTATGAGTGGGTGTCCGGTACAAATTCTGTTTCAAATCATTTTTGAATGAATAAATTGATTCAGCTCGTTTAACATCAGAAGGAAGACTATTCCAGAACTTAGCTCCGCTATACTTAAAACTATTTTTAAGAAATTCTCTTTTTGGTTTTGCGAGAGCTAAATTTGTAACTACTTTACTATTTTACTATTTTAAACCGATAATGCCAACTTTTCAATTTATCACAAGAAACTTTAGAAATAATCCCGATTTGCGGTCAATAATATTATAAGTGGGATATAACAGGAGAGTTGATTGGTTAACGGGTGTTTGCATTGTCACGCACTAATTAATGCACGCACCGTCTGAACATGTATTTTTATATTACGAAAGAAATAAAAAATCTTGTCTCGTACTTTAAAGTGTGATAATGCACTCGGGAAATGTTATTTTGGATTAAAGTTGAAGTGTCGAACACAAAGTCAAGGTGTATGTTAGTAATCGACGATTATATTAATATATGAAAAATGCAACTCTAAGATTTGAAACTACGCCACCGCGAATCGCAGGTCTACAAAATTATATATTGTCATCCCAGGGCATTTTTTAACTATATAACTGGGGGGGGCAAAGCCCCCCCCCCCCAGCCCCCATGGTGCCCCCCCCCCCACTCAACTATTTTCCCCCCCCCCAGTCAAAGTCCCTTTTCTCTAAAATATAAGCAAAACATGGAATTTAGAAGGGAGGTTTGCGAAGAGGGCCTAACAAAAGAGATAGAGAAGACTTTGAAAATGCCATTTCCGACAATTTAAAGACACAAAATTTTCAAAATTTTGCCGCTCTGTTCCAACCATGGTGGCGCTTCGTGGGAGTCGGAGCCCTCTAAGGCCGCGTTTACACTATGACGCTACGGCTAAACACTCCGTTAAAAATTTACTACGTTTCTAGTGTTGAGACTATATTGTGTTTACACTCGGAGTGGTTTGCCGTAGCGTACTAACTACGGAATTATATTGTGTTTACACTATAACGCGGAGTGGGTTGCCGTAGCGTATTAACTGCGGAAGTCAATTTCGTTACAAATTCACTACGTTTCTTAGTAATGTGTTTATACTATAACGGAGTGGTTTGCCGTAGCGTATTAACTACACACCACTACGTTTGGCACTCCGGATGCAAATCACTACGCTGCGGTAAATTTGCCGTAGCGTCGTAGTGTAAACGCGGCCTAAGTTTATCAATCTGGCTTCCTGAGTGACGGCCAAGTTGTGGTATCTACATAAACATACTATGCCAGTACTTAACTGAAGGTTCAGTTTATCAACGTAATGTAATGCTGTATATCCACAAATCTGTTTCAGAAAGTGCAGGGAATTGCAGTCATAGGGGTAGAAAATTTTCAAAAATTTTCTGGGGGAGAATACCCCAGACTTCCCCCCCCCCCCCGATACCACACCAAACTTTTTATTACCAACAAACCATCTATCATTTCTCCACACTTGGTATAATATGGTCCCTTTTTGTAGATGCGCCCCTCCCCCCACTGACAAATTCTTAAAAAATGCCCTGTGTCATCCTCCTCGATCACTACCAAACAATTTGACTGCGATGTAAAATTCATCCGTCCGTCGGTCGTTGTTGACCAAATATGGAGTGGTGATGTTTTAAAGTGCTTATGAAACGAAATTTCACCCCCTTACTTTTATGGTTGCAATGTAAAGAACAGTTTAAATTGTGACATCACATTGCATAATGAGTTTTCAGAAAAGTATAGTTTTCTTGAAGAATACGTATCTAAAATATCTAAGAAATTGCGTTCTGTTTATGTGACTCATACAACTGGTTATTTTAAAAAGTTAAATATTTACTTACAAATTTTACAAAGTTAAAATAGAGCATTTTCTAAAAACTCATTACGCAATGTGATGTCACAGCGAGTATATTTGCATATCAAACAAAGTTGAATATCTTGAGAAAGAAGTGAGTTATCAAAATTCTACAAAAGAAGTTATACAGTCATTTTAAGTGTTCTTTACATTGCAACCATAAAAATAAAGGGTGAAATTTCGTTTCATAAGCACTTTAAAGGTTTTAAATGATCATATTTTAAAGGGCATACAAATGACTAGTGCAAAATAATTAGTGTCTAGATAAAAAATTGGCGTGACTCCTGTTTTGGCGTAAAATGCATCTACAAAATTCAAGATGGCGAACATTTCATTTCTTCCATTAAAGTGCCACTGTGACGTAAATTCGTCGGTTCGAATTTAATCTAAATAAAATATCACTTTGAAGTGAGTCATAAAAGCCTGTTCGGTTTCCCAATATTTTTTATCGTTCTCGAGATATTCAAGTTTTTAATACATGTAAATTAGGCGCCTTCTGACGTCATTTACTCAACGCATAATAATGCATAATAATTACGCATAATAATTACGAATATCTCTGGAAGTAACAGGCAGAACCTATTCAAACTTGTCATGAGTGAAGTGATAAGGCAACAGCACTATTATATTTACATTACATTGTTGTTATGGTGACGGTTTGGGAATAATAATTTCCTAATTAAAAATACTAAAATGTTAATTTTCGTCCGCTCTTAAAGATATATGATTATTTTAATGCCTGAAATACAATATAATTTATACGGGTGAACAAAATTAATCTTCCTTTCTATCCATGGTACTAAATGTTATTTAATAGTGAAGATATCAACATTTGTTGTTTTACAAATGAGCGACGTTTCTTCTTAACGGTATCCATGGCAACAACGTAATGTAAATATAATGGTGCTCCTAGCTCATCACTTCATTCATGACAAGTTTGAATATTGAATATGTTCTGCCTGTTACTTCCCGATATATTCGTAATTTTTAAATGTAATTTATTATGTGTTGAGTAAATGACGTCAAAAGGCACCTAATTGACATGTATTAAAAACTTGAACATCTCGAGAACGAGAAAAGATATTGGAAAACCGAAAACGCCTTTATGACTCACTTCGAAGTGTTGTTTTATTTAGAATAAATTAAAATCATAAACAGACGAATTTTCCGTCATAGTGGCATTTTAAAATATTAGTAGAAGTAAGCAAGATATGAAAAAAACCGTAAAAGATTTTTATATATGGTTTCAAATGTTCTATCAAACAAGAAAAAAATCCATTTGTCTTTTATAAAAATAACAAATAATTAACGTATAAAGTAATAAACAGAGGATTTTGTAGGTGTGTATAACGCTATTAAGGTGGTCATTCACACAAGAATTTTAAAATTATTGTTTCTTATCCTGTTTGCTTCAAATATTGTAGACTATAATTAACTGACACAGAATCAGAAACTTTTACATTTTTCATTGTCGTAGCAACCAAGAGAAGAGTCATGTAGATATACAAGTCCATTGAGATAGCCAAGCGAATTGTCCATTGGATCCAATGGACACTGTGTTTTCCGTTGGAAAAATATTTGTCAGATGGATCAAATGGGCAAGTGATTTCGCGTGCGGGCATAATATTGGTACAGCAGTTTGCGAATAGTGGCTGCAGCATGTAGAAATATGCAATCATACTTGTTTTGAGTATTTTTTTGCGTTCTTGTTAAAGTGTGTAAATCTACATAATTAAAATTACAATGTGACTATTATTGCTACAGACATGTATATTTGATGTTTGGGCGAAGGTTAATATTAGTATAAAACCTTCTGCTGCTTGGCCGTTTACTACATTTTACTGTAATATATGTCAAAAGCCACGTAATTCTATCCGACTAGTATTTTCCGCTTCATCGCGGCTACTTAATAACACTGAAGACTCGTTTTATTTATAAAGTATTCAAATGGTTAAAAGCATTATTACTATTAGTTAGTTGTACCAGCTCAGAACCTTTCAATTTTACTGCACAAGAGGATTTCGGCAAACACTATACCGACTTCATAACCTCCGTGAGGAGTTTACGTTTTCATCGGAATATGTGGGTTTTGGTTGCCTTTCTCAAAGATAGCTCAGTAAGTATCAAACGTTTAACTACCCAAATTTGTATGGCAATGTTGATAGTCCGCGGACATATCGATTAGATATCTACTTTAGTGCCATTTGGACGAAAATTTAAAAAAAGTTTAGAGAAATTTATCTTTTCTGACTCTGCCAGCTGAAGAAAAACCAGTGGGTAAATAGCCTATTGTACATAAAAGATATTACACTTTATTTCAAACAATATCGATACGCATTACCCATCTTAGATATGCATACAATCATACGGATATGCTTCAGGGCCTTTTTTGAGGATTTTCCCGTGGGGGGGGGGCATTTTTTGAAAGGGGACCTTTCTGTGAGAAAATGTATTAGAAGGGGATAGCAATGGCTGAAAGCCACGTGTGTGGAAAATATACCACGCATGAATGGGGTGTCTGGGGGTGTACTCCCCCAGAAAATTTTTGAAATTTGACTCCAGGAAATGTCATTTCCTGCATTCTGAGCATCCAAATTTGCTCCAAAATTTATCAACTATACTTGTATTTGAAATAAATAAAGGAAGAAACACACAAAAAGTAAAAAAAAATTAACCATAATTTATCATTACTTATTAGAGGAGGATAGCAATGGTCAGGTGTGTGGGGGTGTACTCCCCCAGAAAATGTTTGAAATTTGAACCACGGAAATGCCATTTCCTGCATTCTGAGCATCCAAATTTGCTCTAAAATTTATGCTAACTATAGTTGTATTTGAAATAAAAGATGGAAAAATGCACAAAAAGTAAAAAAGAATATTAACTGTAATTTATCATTACTTATTAGAGGGATAATCCCAAGAAAATTTTT